ATTGGTAAAGTCCAGCACCACTGGAATATCAGCTACAGGATCAGCCACAACTGGACAGTCATCTGGAGTATCTGAGTCCACTGAGCCATCATCTGAAGTATTCAGAACAACTAGATCATCAACTCCTATATCAACTTCAACTGGACTATTTTCTGGAGGTTCAGGGACAACTGGACCATCTGTTATAGGACCAGGAACATCTGTGCCATCAGCAGGATTGACAGAGTCCTCTGGTCCATCACCTGGGTTTGCAACAACTGGACAGTCCTCTGTAGGATCGAGGACAACTGAGTCATTGTCTGGAAGACCAGAAACCAGTGCAACCTTCATAGGAAGTTCAGGCAGTACCAGTCCATCCACAGGAGGATCACAGACAACTGGACTGTCGGCCAAAGAAGCAGGGACAACAGAACAAGCAGCTGAGGTAGCAGGAACCACAGGACCATTCCATGGACGAACTGGAGCAACAAGACAACCTGTTTTAGTTTCAGGGACGACCTTACCAAATTCTAAAGATATAAGGACAACGAGACCTTCATTGGCAAAGTCAGGCATAACTGGAGTATTGGCTCCAAGATCAGCCACAACTGCACTGTTATCTGGAGTATCTGAGTCCCCTGAGCCATCATCTGAAGTATTCAGAACAACTAGATCATCGACTGGTATATCAAGTGCAACTGGCCGATTTTCTGCAGGTTCAGGAACTTCTGGACCATATGTTGTAGGACCGGGAACATCCGTACCATCAGCAGGATTGACAGGGACCTCTGGTCCATCACCTGGTTTTGCAACAACTGGACAATCATCTGTAGGATTGAGGACAGCTGAGTCATGGGCTGGAAGATCAGAAACCACTGCAACCTCCATTGTAAGTTTAGGCACTACCAGTCCATCCACAGGAGGATCACAGACAACCAGACTGTCAGCCAAAGAAGCAGGGACAACAGAACAAGCAGGTGGAATATCAGGGACCACAGGACCATTTCATGGACATTCAGGAACAACAGGACAATCCGTTTTAAGTTCATGGACAACTGAGCCATCATCTGAAGAAATAAGGACAACTAGACCTTCATTGGTAAAGTCCAGCACCACTGGAATA